ACACGGCTAAGAGATTGTCGTTGTTATGTGTGGCACCCCGCTCCCTCATATATATAGGTGGGGGACGGAGGAGCAGCCAAGGAGGCGCCCCAAGTAGGCCGAATCCTACCTAGGGTCCTCCCCAAGCCGCGCCCCCTTTCCATATTAGGTGAGCGGGGAAAGGCAGGGGAGGGAGGTGCCCCCTTTCCTTTCTCCCATGAGAAGGGGAAGGCAGGAGGGGCTATCCCTCCCCCCTTTCCTTCCCTAGGGTCGGCGGCCGGGGAGAGGGGCGCGCCAGCTCCCTTGTGGGCTAGTCTGTCCCCCCTTGGCCCATTCGGCCCATACACCTACCGGGGGTGTCCTGAACCCCTTCCGGCGATCCAATGACTACCCGGTGCACTCCCAAACTCTTCCGGTGTCCGAATATCATCGTCCTATATATCAATCTTTACCTCCGGACCATTTTGGATCTCCTCGTCATGTCCGTGATCTTATCCAGGACTCCAAACAACATTCGGTCACCAAATCATATAACTCATATAACACTACATCGTCAATGAACGTTAAGCGTGCAGACCCTATAGGTTCGAGAACTATGTAGACATGACGGAGACACCTCTCCTGTCAATAACCAATAGTGGAACCTGGATTCCCATATTGGCTCCAACATATTCTACGAAGATCTTTATCGGTCGAACCTTATGACAACATACGTAATTCCCTTTGTCCATCGGTATGTTAATTGCCCGAGATTCGATCGTCAGTATCTTCATACCTAGTTTAATCTCCTTGCCAGCAAGTCTCTTTACTCGTTTTCTAATACATCATCTCGTAACTAACTCCTTAGTCACTTTTCTTGCAAGGCTTCTTATGATGTGTATTACCGAGAGGGCCCAGAGATACCTCTCCGACACTCGGAGCGACAAATCCTAATCTTGATCTATGCGAACTCAAGAAACACCTTCGGAGATACCTGTAGAGCATATTTATGATCACCCAATTATGTTGTGATGTTTGATAGCACACAAGGTATTCCTCCGGTATCCGGGAGTTGCATAATCTCATAGTCGAAGGAATATGTATTTGACATTAAGAAAGCAATAGCAATAAATTGAACGATCAATTTTCTAAGCTAACGGATGGGTCTTGTCAATCACATCATTATCCTAATGATGTGATCTCGTTATCAAATGACAACACATGTCTATGGTTAGGAAATCTTAACCATCTTTGATCAATGAGCTAGTCTAGTAGAGGCTTACTAGGGACATGATATTTGTTTATGTATTCACACATGTATTTAAGTCTGCGACCAATACAATTCTAGCATGAATAATAAGCCTTTATCATCAATAAGGAAATATAAAATAACAACTTTATTATTGCCTCTAGGTCATATTTCCTTTAGAAGTTACCGCCCTACAAGTTTTCGAGCAACCGTTGCGTCGATTCAATCCAAAAGAGGTGGGGGTTCATCCAACAAGAATGCAACAAGTTTTGTGCCGCCCTTGAGAGCATCCAAGGCCATCCCGTGAGTGGCCTAGGCGTGAGCGACATGGTATACAATTTGTTCTCTTTGTTCATATGCACTTTCATGTATGTTGCATTGTGCCCTTCACTATTACATTATGGCTATCACTTTTATTTGTACGCATTCCGAACTTTGGAAGCTTTCAAGGCACAACATAGAAACAAGCCATTCACCCTCACTCATTATTGGACGATCATTTGGAATTGCCCCAAGTTCAAGGAGCAATATGCCGCCCAAATTAAGAATGGAGGGCCGACGACCGTGGTTGATCATGAAGAAGGGGAGAAGCGATCAAGGGGCAAGACCAACTCCAAGGTGGACGGGAAGCGTGATGTGGCGACATTCGTTTTACATTCGATTTACATCGTGCTTTGGTCTTTGCAAGGCATGATGACCCAAAAGTAAGCAAGGGAGGAGAGGAAGCACCAAGAGGAAGAGAAGAGAATGAAGGTTTACATCGAGATACAAAAGAAGAAACTCGAGATCGAGGTGAACATCCAAACCAAGAAGCTCGAGATTGAGGCGAACAATGCAAAGACCAAAGCAAAAGAGGTTGCACTCGCTTTCATGGCAAAGGAGGTGGAGATCATGACGTTTGACTTGAGCAAAGGTGTCCCCAAGGAGAAGGCCACGGTGAGAAGAAGCAAAAGGAGATGCTTGAGCTAGATGATTGAGCTATGGCCGAGAGCGCCATCATTTTGTATGCCGGAATTGTGTGCAGGCATGAACTAGGGCCGCGATGCAAAAACTATGACTGCTTTTGTGTGCTGACAGGTGTGTTGAAATGAACTTGAGGCGATTTTTTGTTGATTGGCATGTATACCGGCCGCTGGCACTCTGGCTGGCAAGAACTATGGCCGATGGCATGACTATGGCCCCGACCCCTAATTTTAGATTTTATTTTCTTGCAAATAGTTTTGGCGCCCGGACGAAATGCGCTGGCCGGTTGGTGCACTAGTCAGATTTGGTCAGGCACGGCTGGCCAGCGCGCCTTCAACCCACCCAAACGGACAAAATCCATATAAAATGACGTATGTTTGGGGTCGTGTGTTGGAGTTGGCCTTAAAGCATCTCTAGCAGACCCCTTAAGGGTCGATCGAACTTTACAAGATCTCCTAGGTACCCTTTTTACGACATAAACTGTAAATGCGTTATTTTTTTTACGAATTTGACCGTTTTTAAGGGGTCTACTATAGATACTCTTATGGCCATAGTTGCAACGGCTACGGACACCTGCTTATGGATTGAAGTTTACGGACAAATGTGGCACCTTTGGGTTAGCTCGATCGAAATCACGACGTGGGGACATAGGGGCTGTTTGGTTGGTGCCCTGAGCACCATGCCTGAGAAAATTACATGCCTGAGTGTAGCCTGAGATTGCTGTGCTTTTAACTCGACTAGGCAGCTTCGACCAAGTGCTGTTTGGTTCGTGCCTGAGCCTGAGAAAATAAAAAATGGTAGGTGCAATGATTGCTAGCTGCATGCACTATGGGTGAACCACTAAAGCACACTGATCAACCATTAAAATATATTTGCATGTGCGTGCCTGAAGCTCAGGCCTCCGATTTTGGTGGCCTGACTCCGGCTAATTGTGTGTCTGTGTACTCAGGTCAGGCTAGCTATAAGAGTGCTCAGACTGCCAACCAAACAAGGTTCAGGCTAGTGTCCGGCTTCCCTCTGGCTAGGCAGATTTTTCTCAAGGTAGCAACAAAACAGCCCCATATACCTGGCCATCTATCGGGCCAGACCGGGCCTACCAAAGCCCTATGCAAAAATCCCATGCTCGAACCCGACCCGACCCGACCATTGGGCCTAAATCAGGCTCGAGCCCGGCCCATCATGCTAAAAGCCCGCCGGGCCTCGGGCCGGGCGTCTTCCTTAAACGATGAATATGACGGGCCTAGGCCCAGCCCAACCGGGTCGGGCTTTTTCGAGCCGTCCGGGCCGGGCTGCCCATGGCCAGGACTACGGGGACACAACGAAAAATCACGGAATGGCAGCGCAACGCAGCCTGCCCGTAATGGCGTAACCTTTGTGTCTGTACTCTGTAGCATTCATTCCGTAAGTGTAGCATAATTGAGCTGCCCGAGCCCCACGGACTCCGCCCAATCAGACCCCATCACCTCCATATAGGGGTGGAAACGGATCGAATGCGGATCGGATAGTGCTCTTGCCACTTTCATTTTCATATTTTCAAAACGAATACGAATCCGAATACGGATGTTATCGGATACGGATGCGGCTCGAATATTATTCGAATACGGATACGTATCAGATATTTTCTTGATTCGGAACGGATACGAATAATATTAACATATTGCTTAAGTAAATTAGTCGATACCTATGTGACCTGAAATAATCAACTTGTGACATACAATAAGTCAATGATAAATAGGTTTATTAATAAATACTATTGTAATGCATAATAATTTATAAGTTTAATCATATAAATAGTAAAACTTGACCACTTATTTGGCTTTTATGTTGGATAATTCGAATATTGGGTCTAGAATTTTGAAAATTACCTCCCATAATCTTATTCGGATACGGATATATCCACTTCCATATCCATATTTGTCTCAAAATCTTTTACCATATTTTATTTTTTATTTTTTTAATAAATTCGGATATGGATAATTTCCATTTCCATTTTGGTCCGGATGCGAATGTTTCGGATACGAATAGGCATTTTCTCGAATACGAATATCGGATATTTCGGATTATCCGCTACCAATTTCCACCCCTACCTCCATAAAACCCTTGCTGCTTCGTCTGCAACAACTAAGGCACCGCGTCGTCTGCGAGAGGTACGCTCCGCCTCCGACCCCGACCCCACCCCCGACCGCCACCCCTTTCGTCTCTTCGACGTACGTTATTACTGTGAGCTGGGAGACGAAATGGAACGGGGGAACTTGCAATCTGTTTTTTTGGGTGTTTTCCAACGCAAGCTCCTGCGTTTTCTTATACGGCTTTTTTTACAGATCAAGATTGAGGCGCTCCATTTCTTTCCAGCCTGCTTGGTTTGTGGAGCTCTATCTTGATCTTCTTTTTCGGTCCTCTCCGTTCACCAACAGTTATTTTGGTTGAGGCCTTCACTGCCTTCCAAGATTACCATGTTCTTTTGTCTCTAATTGCACAGATCTAATTTCATACTGTGAGTGCGAGGTTGGGAGAAGAAAAGTAAAGAGGCGAACTTGCCATATTTTTTTGGAAGGCTTGCTTGCCATCTCTTTATTACGTACAATTTCCTTCTTTCGGCTGTACTCTTGATCTCCATTTCCCGTTTTGGCGGTAATTATTTGGTTGAGATCTGCACTGCCTTTTGAGATTGTCATGTTCGTTCGTTTCTAAAGTGCCACAACTCTGTATGTTCTTCTTTTTTTGCGGGTAAAATCTGTATGTTCTTAACGGAGAGTATATATTGTTGATTAATGACATTGTGATTGATTTCGATTGCAGAGGATCCCTGGAGAGAGGAAGTGCAAGAGCTATGGGCAACTCCTGTGTTACCGGCGCCAGCAGTAAGGATTTCTTTTGAACTAGCTTACTTTTGCTTCTTACTGGGCAACTTGTGATAATAATTTGTTTGAACTGCTATATCATGTTATCTGTTGTGATACTGGTGCAAGCATCACTTTTTTCTGGTGGCTGTAAGGATTTCTTTCAAGTCCCTTTTTCTTTTCTGCCTCTTACTTGAATTGGCCTAGATGGTTCATCTTATAAACAAGGTTCAGACTGTTCACAAAATCATATATTAAGTACTGAATTATTTTACTGAAAGACAACCAAAGAAGATGTTCATCCTCATTCACAAAAAACAAAAGAAGATGTTCATCCTTTTCATTCACCTCCTGTTTAGCCAAAGTAACCATCATATGTATGTTAGGAAATTCCCAGTACTACTTGGACTTTCTTCCATCAGTTTGCCTCAGTCCAAGATCGCAAAAAAAAAAGGTTTGCGTCTGTCCAAAGTCCCCGGGAAGAAGCAAGTAGAAATCTTAACCCATTTGCTGAGTAATTCTAGCACAGCTAAATTTGCCATTCTTCATCATATTCGTGTGTACAAAGCTAGAAGAACAACAGTACATCGCATTCATTGACAATACTGCACTAATCTAACGGATCAATCATTGTCGCCTATTTGTCTCCCGGGTTGCGGCCTGTAGTTGTAATTTGAGCTTCTATTGTGATCCTATGGTGCTATTACTGATGCAAGGATTGTTGTCGTTTCAGGCAGCTCAAACCACGGGCAGAGTCTGAAATCCAAGGAGGCAAGACTTATTGACAACTCATGTGTTACTGGTTCAAGTAAGGGTTTATTTTGTGCTTCTTACTGGCCCTCGTGTGATAATAATTTGAGCTGCTATACATTGTGACCATTTGATGCCGTCATAATGATGCAAGCATTGTTGTTTGTCGTGGCTGTAAGGATTTCTTTTTTTTGCTTCTTGCTTGAACTGCAACTAGATTGTTCAGCTTATAAACAAGGTTTAGACTCTTGGCAAAAATCAGATAATTGACAAAACTGCACTAATTTAACGGATCAATCATGAGTGCTTCTCCGTCTCATGATCTGCTGTTGTAATTTGAGCTGCTATATATTGTGATCTTTTCATGCTGTTACTGATGCAAGCATTGTTGTTTTGTAGGCCAGTCAAACCAGGCGCGTTGCCAGGAGTCCAACGGGTCAGAGATTACCTTCAAATGGAGGATCGATGGTTTCTCATCGCTTCTTGATAAGGGTAAATCATGGACGAACTCCAGTGTGTTTGAGATCAGGGGTCATAACTGGTACAGTTGCTATTTTTTTCAGCTATTCCAACAGAGTGGATAGCTTGATGCATTCTCACTTGTTTGCTGTCTCTTGACTTGATTTGCAGGCACCTGATGCTGAACCCAAGGGACAGAAAGAGTGGCGACGAAAATGAATATGTATCTCTTATGCTTGTGCTGTTTCAAGTATCTGAGAGATCCCATACAGTCGTGGAGGCAACTTTCAAGTTCTTGATATATGACCAGTCACATGGAAAGCACCACGAACAGCATCAAGGTAGGTTAGCAAATAGTAGTTCTTTAAGCTTCACAACTGGTCGGCTACTAGATTGATAGTGTAGATTATAACCTGTTTTTTTACCAGAGGAACAGCATCATTTCTCTGTTTATGCCTTACATTTGAATATTCTGTTTGCAGTGAGCCACAATTTTCAGGCTACAAGCAGAATCTCTGGGAGCCCATGCATGATCCCCCTCACGAAGCTTAAGGAGCAATCCTCTGGATTCCTTGTCAAAGACAGCTGTGTTTTCGGTATCCAGTTCATTAAAGTTGTCGCTGTTAAAGGTAACGATGTGTCAGAGACACTGTTTGTTCAGAAGATTAGCAACATCTGCAGTGACCCGCAAATCTACACCTGGAACATTGATGATTTCTTTGTGTTGAAGAACCCGAGCACCTCCCCAGAGTTTGAGCTCTGTGGACACAAATGGTAACTTGACCAATAATATTAATTCTTAATTATTGGGTTTATACAGAATTGTCTGAATTTCATTTGAACAGAGAGGCTACCATACTTCTTTTTTTTTTTTAAAAAAGACGCTGGAGTTCGACTTATCAGTGATGAATTACACCGTGTGGTGTTCTCCAATTTTCAGGTCCATCACTCTATCCATCTGGTTCCGATAAGAATGGGAACTACCTCTCCCTGTACCTGAGCACCAAGGTGCCGGATACATTCCATAAGGACTCGGCGATCCTGGCAGACGTTAGCATAAGCATCAAAGACCAGGAAACTGGCAAGCACATGAAATTATCAGGTTTGCCCTTTAGCAGAAATTTCACGCAATAGACCAGATTTGAGAT